AGTAGTCCTGGACCATCTAATGATGCAACAAACACAGTTATGCAAAAGTTTTGGGACTCAGCTTTTTCTCTAGAGCCGCCTGAAGATTTTGACACCCATAGGTATCTTGGTGATATCTATTCTGTTTCCGATATATAAGTTGTTTTTTTCTGTAAATAAGCATATATGTGTGATTGCAGTGAAGCCTCTGGACTGCTGACTTTGGACGGGGCTGATACCACAAAGTCTACATATCAGTCTGTAGGTTTTGGAAATCCATTTGCTTTTAAATTTGAGGATCCCAATGGTCATGTGCATCGATTCTACTGTGGTAAGTTACATATTGGGGAAAGCTTTTCAAGAACTTAAATTAATTGATCTGCATACTTTTTTCTGTCGCTGTGGACTTGCTGTGCATAAACCTGGGTTTATAATTTTTGGAAAAAGTTATACGTTTTTGCCGCTATCTTTTTTATAGGTGCTGAACATCTAGACGAGCTTGTATCTGCTGTCATGCAAATAGTTGGTGATTTTAATGATGGAGAACGCCCTACAATACTGGTGTGTTTTATTCTAGATTAGTTTTGTCTGCTTTTTTATCGTACTATATGTATATATTATGATGCTGGCTTTTGCTTATCTTCTAGTACAAGGACGATGAGGGTGATGAAATTATTCTTGAGACTGATAACGATCTTGTGGCTGCTGTCAGCTATGCAAGGTCTGCAGGATTGAAGGTGAAGTTGTTTTCTTTTATTAGACTTTTCATTTGACAATATGATCTTTACATGGATCTGTTCTTATTGCTTTGATGCATGCATTGAACTAACGTTGTTTTATTTCAGGCTTTAAAATTGGATTTGCAGTTCGCTGATTTGACCAAACCAACAAAAGCATCATCTGATACACCCACTATACAGAAAAGCAGTACATTGTCTCTCCGTTCTGGTATTTTTGCGGGTGTTGTTGTTCTAACGAGCGTTAGCATATTGGTGTACTTAAAGCGCTCTAAACAGTAATATGAAAACAAAACATGCTATAATCTTACTCTATGATGATTTCCAGATATTGTCGTTGACAAAGGAAATGATGGACACGGAATAGGTGTATATGATGTGGAGGTTTTCTAATCACCTGTTTTTGTCTTTTTTTCTGTTTGGATCACTGATGTATTTAAAGCTTATGATATAGTCATAATTTTCAAGTGTTACATTCTTCTCTATTGAGTTACTTTTGATTCTTTATAGATAAACTTTTCATCACCCACCCCTTTAACCCAAAAGAAATAAATAGACACTCTATTATCAAATTTAGATCACCGTCATGATCAAGCCATTTGAACCTTTTGTTTGATTGTGGTTGTACGGTGATGATATCAAAATTTAATAGTTTGATTGTGGTTAAATAATAATTAGATAATGTTATTTTAACTTTAAAGCAAAACATATTAAGTAAATTAAATAAATGTAATATATATTTACAACTTGATGATTTATAAAATTAAGATCAAATTATATTAAGCGTGACGATATTTAAGTAGAATTAAAAATGATATCTTGATTTGCTGAATAGAAAAACTGGAGCACTCGAGTGCAACATATGTTTCCGGGGACAAACTATTCACGGGAGAACTCGACTCTTGATTTCCCTTTTTAAGTTGCTTTGCTGGGTAACAATGATCACCAATCATCGCAAACTATTTACGTGTCCCGACTATTATGTAATATTAGAGGTGTCAATGGTTCCTAATGGGTGAAATTCACTGGGTGCCTGCGCCCATAAGAAATCACGGAGTCATCCATGGAATCTGAAATATTCCTACTCAAATTGAATTGTACATCCAAAATAATTCTAAGAAGACATAATCTCAAGCGGATATTTGGCGTTAATAATGGATTAAAATTGAATTCTCTCCTTTAATCTACAAGATTAAGTAGATTAAAGCTGTTAAATTTTAAAAATAATTAATAATAATTTAATAATTTTAATTGATGTTTTTTTTTCTACTTTGATTTCATATCGTCACTACAATTCAAATTCTCACTTAAGGTTATAATCAATTATATTATAATGTTTGTTGTGTTTTAGTTTCGTATTTTAATCGTATCATAACTTTTGTTATGCTAACACCACAGCGTTTTAGTCTCGCATTTCAATCACGTCACAATGTTTGTCACGTCACGCTACTGCAATTTTCTCACCAGTGCATTCCTCGCGTCACCATGTTACCGTGTTTCAGTTGTACCATAGTGTTTGTCGCATTTCAATTGCACTACAGAGTTCGTTGTGTTACCACGTCATTACGTTCAGTCTCGCTATTCAATTGTGCTTATTAGAAAACAAAACAAAAATGTGGGTTAGTGAGACAACCCACCAACCCATAGTAAGTTGAACAGGGTTATGAAATTTTTAACTTGTCATAAAGTGAGTCAGGTAAAGTTCGCATATTTTCAACTCATTCCGTAGAGAACCAACCCTAGTGAGCCGGGTTGACTCACTTTGACACTCCTACAATAATATGGTAAATGTTATACTATAGTTTTTCTTATTATAAGATAAAATACTCCTTACAAGAGATACAATCCTGGTTGAGAATATTTTTTTCATGACTTGTTCTTCTCAAAATACCACGAAAACTTCTCTTGTTGTTTTTCCAACAAATTTGTGTAAATGTGCATCTTAAAAATTGTGAACTATTGTAAGAGGAATCCAGTTTGGTATGTAATATGACTGTTGTCTATGCTTTTGCTGCCGCATTCAATGCAACGAGAGAAAGCAAGCATCCTTGGAGAGCACATGCATATTATGATTACAATATTATTGAATGATGATGCAAATTCTAGAAAGATCTAGAAAATAAAATCCTAAATATTACTAGAATTAGGAACTTCATATGAGTAATATGTAGAATCCTTAGAAGATTCTATAAATGTTTGAAAGTAGAAAATAGATAATAATTCTAGAGTTAAGAAAATTTAGAATGATCTAGAATATTTAGGAGGTGATAGATCAAGCCTATAAATAGGCAATGCCACTTATGTAATGGATGTGAAAAATTAATATAGATTCCTACATATCTTGTAACACTTCCAAAATCAATTATTATATTTTCTTATACAAACATTCTCCTATTTGTCCACCTCTTTCTAAAAATTATTTTTTACACAAATCTTACTACTAAACATCAAACCATCTTTCTTATCCTTCCTAAAATACTATCAGTGGTACCAAAGCTATATTTGATCATCTATTGGGCATAGATACAATCCAACCACCTTCGAAAAGTCCTATTATATTTCATACTAATTCCAACTAATGACTAATGTTAATTCTTCTTCATCTATTCCTTAACTTATCTTCACGGGAGAAAATTATGACTTTTGGAGCATTAAAATGATGGAGTTACAAACATGTGGCTACTCCACTCGTGACAAATGAGGAGTTGCAAAAAGATGATGGAGTACCAGAAGCTTACGCATCATGCTACAAAAGTTTGATTGAAAGCTTACTATATCTTACAACTACATGACTAGATATCATGTAAGCTACAAGCCTTTTATCAAGGTTTATACAAAAATCAAGTCAAATTTACTTTGGAGCACTAAAAAAGATTTTAAGATATCTACAAGACACAAAGGATTTTGGTATATAGTACAAAATTAGGAACAACTCAAAGTTGATTGGCTACACTGATAGTGATTGGGCAGGATCTATAGATGACATGAAGAGTATATTAGGTTACGCCTTCTCACTTTGATCGAGATTTTTTTCTTGGGCATCTAAGAAGCAAACAACAGTAGCACAATCAATAGTAGAGGCAGAGTACATGACAGCAGCTGAACTTACAAGTCAAGTTATATGGCTTCGAAGAATACTTGAAGAGATGGGAAAACAACAACAAGGATCTACTACAATTTATTGCGATAACAAGTCAACGATAACAATGACAAAGAATCTAGTTCATCATCAAATAATAAAACATATAACTATTAAATATCATTTCATCAGAGAGGCTGAAGCGACTAAACAAATTTAACTTAAGTACTGCGCTACAGAATATCAAATTGCAAACATATTTACCAAGGCACTACCAAGAGTCAAGTTTGAACAATTATGTTTCATGTTTGTAATTACAAGAATTTGCGGAGTGTTGAAAGAAGATGCAAATTCTAGAAAGATCTAGAAAATAAAATTCTAGATACTACTAGAATTAGGAAATGAGTAATATCCGTAATCTTTAGAAGATTCTAAAAATATTTGAAAATAGAAGATAGATAATTCTAAAGTTAAGAAAATCTAGAATTATCTAGAATATTTAAGAGATGGTAGATCAAGTCTATAAATAAGCAATGTCAAGTATGTAATGAACGTGAAAAATTAAAACAAACTTCTACATATCTTATAATACATCCAAAATCAATTATTATCATCTATCATACAAATTTTCTCTTATTTATCTACTTCTTTCTAAAAACTATTTTCTCCATAAATCTCACTGTTAATCATCACTTCATCTTTCTTATTTTTCCTAAAATACTATTCATCTTTCTTATCTTTCCTTAGATACTAACAAATATGCATTTCGTTTTCATTGGAACATGGAATTACATTATTTCTACTCACTTCTTATCACTCGTTCAACTTTATTAAAAGTCACATGCATGTTGTGACTTCTCATAAATTTCAGGTAATGATATATACATTAAACGTTTGTCAGAGGAGAAAGAGAGAAAAGTGAGAAAGTAGATACTTTTTTATTATTATTATTATTATTATTACTATTATTATTATTATTATTATTATTATTATTATTATTAAATGAAAAGCAATTTTCATTAGGTTAAAAAGTATAATATTGTTCCTAATAAAAATGTTTCTTAAAATATGAAAACAATTTGAATACTAAGGTGAAAAGTTTCCAATGCTCTAATGAGATTCTACGTATAATATTTTTTTGAATTTCTGGTGGAACTGGGTTTGGATGCGTTGGAAATTGGAAGGCAAAGCAGTCCACGCCACAAATGACGAATCTTCCACTCTCCATCTTCCGTAAGGGAAACGGAGTTGCGATTGGTGAGTGAGATGATGCCAAAAAGTTTATTTTAAGACAAACCCCAGAATCCAAAACTAAAAAATTGTTTCTAAATTATAAATTTATAATAAACTGTGATCCTAGAAACGCCAAACATATGCACCATAACTTCATACATCACGGCCCATCCATCACCTTCCAACCATAACTCTATTCTCACCATACATACCAAATCTGCCATCACCACCAAACGCGGAATCACCTTCCACCACAAACCTCTTACGATTCTACCACATGACTGCACCAGGCCTAGCACGTCGTCGTTGCTTACGTTTCTGCATTTCCACAGTAATTCACTTCTCGTGACTTCTGAATCTGATCGCCAAATTCCTTCATTTTCTTCATTCGGTGCAAGGGCACCATTGTTAATTACTGATTAGTGATTTTCCGTGTGCTTCAGGAGAAAGAAAGAACAATTGAAATAAGCAAGGAATAGCTCCGCCACTGCTACAATTGACAATTGGTGAGTGCTATACGTGTCTCTATGGAAATATGCTTGTTTTATTGCTAATAATTAGAACATGGTGTGTTAGTTAGTCTAATTTGGTATTTTAAGCAATAGATTTGATGTTACGGGAATAGTGTATTTGTCTACTTTATGAAGTTGCTGGTTTGAGTCTTCCCGATCTACTATGATATCAGTTTGTAAAGAAAAATAAATCTGAAGTTGGGGCTAATTGGACGAATGCTGATAAGTTCAAGAATAATGTGGCAACTGGAAATAAGATAATTAGTAAATTCATCTGATAGTCAACTGACCTCATTTCATGGATCAATAAGATAATTATTCTTTTTTATGTTCAATTTTGCTTTGTTCTTGGTCAACAGTCATGACAAGTCCTATTATTCACTTTAACATTTGAAGAAATATAAAATCAGACCTTTCAGTTTTATCCAGATTTAGGAACAATATGGGTATGAGTCAATAAAACTAGCCAATCTCTTCTACAATTTCAAAGTCCATTAAAATTTTGTTTAGTTCATTGATCGTGTTTCAATAATTACTGAGAATTTTCTTGTTCTTTCTAACTAAGCATTTTGATGTAGCATGTGATAGTGTTATTCAATGACTTGCTTATGATTTTCAAGCAGTCAAGCAAAGAAAATAGAGCTTGGATTTCTTCAAAAGAATTTTTTTTTTCCAGGTCGTTTAAAGGGTACCCTTTCTCTCGCATGCCCTACTATCGGCTTTACAAATAAATTTTGACGCTTTCTTTTCTTATCTTTCGTTTCCGGAGTCTCTTCTAGGTGTACTTGTTTGGTACAGTATATTTCATGATTACTTTGTTTCTAAATCTGGTATATTTTTCTTCTGAAAATAAAACGATGCACCTAGTCAGGTCCCCCTAATAAATAATGATTTTTTTTATTCACTAATATGTTATTAAATTTATAATTCAGAAATAACATATATTTACTGACTAGCACTATTTTCATATTTTTTTAATAACATACTATTAAATTTATAATACAGAAATAACATTATTCTATCCATATTTACCTTATTACATAATTTTCAACTTCACTAATTAATATAATTTTTAAAATATAATAATATTTATTAAATATAAATATATAAATATTATATATATTTAAAAAAATTATTTATATAATTATATGAAATAAATATAAATATTTTTTTAAAAATAACATAAAAATATATTTATATAATTATATTATTAATATATTTTTATGAATATAGTAAAGACAAATATATTTAATATATATATATAATGTTTAAATATTTATTTATATTTTTATAAATATAATAAAATTTAATAAAAATATTTTATTATATTATTAATATATTTTTATAAAAATATATTTTTATAAAAATATATTTTTATATATTTTTATAAAAATATATTTTTATATATTTTTATAAAAATATATTTTTATATATTTTTATAAAAATATATTTTAATAATATATTTTTATAAAAATATAAATAAATATTTAAACATTATATATATATATATATATTAAATATATTTGTTTTTACTATATTTATAAAAATATATTAATAATATAATTATATAAATATATTTTTATGTTATTTAAAAATATATATTTATATTTATTTCATATAATTATATAAATAAAATTTTTTAAATATATATATAATATTTATGTATTTATTTTCTATAAAATATATCTATATATATATATTTAATTATTATATTTAATAAATATTATTTTATTTAAAAATTATATTAATTAGTGAAGTTGAAAATTGTGTAATAAGGTAAATGTTGATAGAATGATGTTATTTCGTATTATAAATTTAATAGCATGCTACTTGAAAAAAATCTAAAAATGGTGCTAGTCAAATAAATATTGATAGAATGATGTTATTTATGAATTATAAATTTAATAGCATCCTAGTGAAGAAAAAAATCAACAAATAATGATAGGATATATTAATAATTTTAGTATATTAGTCAATTTTGATTTATCTTATCTAATCAATTAATTGTGCTATTCAATTTTGATCTGCCTTGCTTAATCAATCAATTTTGTGAATTAAGACACTAGTGGAAAAATAGCTTTCTATGACGGGTTTTTATCACGGTCGTAATCCACCCGTCATAGTATGTGGCGCGGTGGCAATTTTGTAATAAAATCATAAACTTTCTATGTCGGGTAAGTTTTAACCGACATAGTAAGTGGAAAGGTCACTTTCTACGTCGGTTAAAATTTACCCGACATAGAAAGTTAACTTTCTATGTCGGGTAACATTTACCCGACGTAGAAAATGAACTTTCTATGTGGGGTAAATTTTAACCGACGTAGAAAGTGTCTTTGATGACAGGTGTTAGGGCAACCGACATAGTATCTTCTGTTTTGCCCGCGCTCCATTTCTTTTCATCACTTCCCCCCCACTCCATTTCATTTCATCACTTCCCCCCCATAGCAGAGCTCCCCTGTACGTTTCTCCCTATGCTCCATTTCCTTTCATCAGTTCACCCATACCGGAGCTCCCCGTTCGCTTGTATACGTTTCTCCGCACCCACATTTGCTCGTCACGCCACCTCGCCAACGCTTCGTGCCGCTCGCTACTACCGGTGCCCTTCGCCTTGGATACGTTTCTCCCCACCCGGCTCCGCACGTCACGCCACCCGCCACCTCTCGTAGGTCTTCAAGAGGTAAGTTTTCGTGCTTGCTTTAGCCAATGTAGGTTTACAGTATTGAATCTAGTAAGTAATAATGCTCGTCAAGAGAGGGAAACATCACGGGTGCCTTTAGCTAATTTAGAGATGTATTGTAAGTAGTTTAGTCATTTGAATGTGTTTCGTTCGGCATTCTTTCGTGATTTTGATTTTGAACATTAGATTTGTATTATAATGTAGTTATTTTGAGAGTGGAGTTGGATTTCGTGTAGGCATTATAATGTAGTTATTTCGTGTTTCGTAGCTAATTTGATTTTGAAAATTAGATTTGTAACAATGGATCGGAGTTGGATCAATTACGGACGAACAACAAATGAATATGAGAGTGGAGTAGAACAATTCCTTGAATTTGCTAAGATGAATGTTCCGGATAATGATGGAAGATTCTATTGCCCTTGTGTTAAGCTGCTTGAATGAGCGAAGATTACCGATCGAAGTTATTCGGGAACATGTTCTTTGTGATGGTTTCCTAAAGAGTTACATAAAGTGGACATGGCATGGTGAATTATTAAACATGCCAAGTGTAGAAGACAAAGAAGAAGTTGATCTAGAGATGGATGATCAGCTGGAGGAAATGATTCGTGAGCTTGGACAAGATGCCTTCCAACACACACATGTGTACGAGAAGTTGTCCAATGATGCAAAAGAGCCTTTGTATACAAATTGTACTAAGTTCACACGATTGTCGGCGGTACTAAAATTGTTCAATGTGAAGGCAAAGAATGGGTGGACTGATAAAAGTTTCACAGAATTGCTTGAGTTGTTGAGTGACATGCTCCTCGAAGGTAACACATTGCCAACCCGCAATTATGATGCTAAGAAGATATTGTGTCCAATGGGTATGGAGTACCAAAAAATTCATGCATGTCCGAATGATTGTGTGTTGTACAGGAAAGAATTTGAGAACTGTCACGAATGTCCACAATGCGGGAATCACGATACAAGAAGAAGGATGGTGATTCTGACAATGATGTTATGAAGGGTACCCTGGCAAAAGTGTTATGGTATCTTCCCATTGTTCCAAGGTTGAAACGATTGTTCACTAATGGAAATGATGCAAAGCTCACTAGATGGCATGCAGATAGTCGTATTAAAGATGGTCAGTTGAGACATCCGGCAGATGGATTGCAATGGAAAAAAAGAGAAAAAAAGTTTTTGTGAGTTTTTACGAGGTGTGAAGGTTCCATTTGGTTACTCTTCCAATGTGAAGAGACTTGTATCTATGAAAGATCTCAAATTGCTTGGGTTAAAATCTCATGATTGTCATGTATTGATGCAACAACTTCTACCTGTGGCTATTCGAGGTATCTTACCAGACAATGTTAGATATTCCTTAACTCGATTATGCTTTTTTTTTAATGCCATATGTAGTAAAGTTATGGACCCGGATGTTTTGGATCAGTTAGAGAATGAGGCTGCGAGTAATATTATGTCAATTTGAGATGTACTTTCCTCCATCATTTTTTGATATTATGGTTCACTTGATTGTTCATCTAGCCAGGGAAGTTAGAATCGTGGTCCAGTTTTCTTACGATGGATGTACCCTTTTGAGCGATACATGAAAATATTAAAAGGGTATGTGAAGAACCAATATCGTCCCGAAGCATCAATTGTTCAAAGATATATTGCAGAGGAAGCTATTGAGTTTTGCACAAACTACTTATCGAAGTTGAAGCTATAGGGTTACCTAAGACTCGTTACCATGGAATAGGTCTTGGTAGAGGAACTCGAGGTGCAAAAGTTGTGACAATGTGTCGAGATGAAGTACTTCAAGCGCATTTGTACATCTTGAATAACAGTGAAGAAGTCATCCCCTACTTAAGTGCTCATAAAGAGATTGTGAAGCGAAATAATCCACGTATGCCTAAAAAGTGGGTGATCACCGAACACAACAAGAGCTTTTGAAGTGGTTTAAACAACAAGTTGAAGGTGACAATACGACTTCGATACACTAAAGTGGCTAGCATGTGAGCCAAACTTTGATGTGATATGTTGGGGTGGGTATGATATAAATAACTATTCATTTTATACAAAGGGAGAAGATGAAATAAGCACAATGCAAAATAGTGGAGTCATGGTGGTGGCTGAATCAATGCATTTCTTGAGTTCAAAGGATAAATATCCGATAAGGGCGTCAATGGGCTACTTTGGTGTAATTGAAGAGATTTGGGTAATAGATTACACGATATTCGTAGTACCTATTTTTAAATGCAAGTGGGTTGATTTTAATACTCGGCATCTTCACCGATGATCTTGGATTTACCTTGGTTAACCTTGAAAATACTCGTTATACTCGAAGAACCATTTATCATGGCATCTCGTGCAAAACAAGTGTTTTATGTCACCGATCCCGCTAACAAAGGATGGTCAGTGGTTCTACAAGGAAAACCCATGTATACTTCGATGAGAATGATGAATTAGTACTTGATATACCCGAGACACCATGTTTCTCTTCAAATATGCCAAACTTGAGTGTTAATGTAGAAATAGATGATGTGCATGCCATCCGTTATGACCATATGGAAGGATTTTGGGAGAATGCTCCAACTTGATAGGAAATTTAAGCATTCAATCTTCATAGGAAATTTAACTTGTAACAATTTAGATAGAATTGATTTAAGTTAGGAAATTTACATTCGTTTAAGTAAATGAACTCGTCTGGAACTCGGATCTCGTCCGTACATATATTCATTTCAATGTGTTTCATATGTACATATCCGTCTCGCAATCGAATCTGTCTCGTACTGGATATATATCCGTAGCAAATTTATATATGAACCGTGCATATCTCGTCTGTACTGGATATGTGGTTATTTGTCTGGAACTATGATGAATAGGCAGGTCTACTCGAAGAAAGGTAGCATCTGTAAATAAAATGCAGGTATTTTAAAAAAAATAACACTTTCTACGTCGGTTATGTCATTACCCGACGTAGAAAGTACTTTCTATGTCGGTTATAATTTTAACCGACATAGAAAGTAAGACTTTCTATGTCGGTTATAAGTGTTAACCGACATAAAAAGTATATGACCGATCAGAACCAGTATGACCGATCAGAATAGCTCATACAAAATAAGACTTTCTACGTCGGTTCCCTGACTAACCGACGTAGAAAGTCTTTATGTGACCGATCAGAACCAGTTTTGATCGATCAAGATAGCTCTATGACCGATCATAACCAGTTTGACCGATCATAATAGCTCAAAGAAAGTAAGACTTTCTACGTCGGTTCCTATTAACCGACGTATACTTTCTATGACCCCCGTATCTATGTCGCCGCTTTAACCGACGTCGAAAGCCCATTTTAACCGATGTAAAAAGCCTTTTCTACAGTAGTGAGAGTGGGGTGAATTACTTAATTGGCCTATTTTAAAAAATATTTATATATTAAAATTAAAATAAAAAATATATAATTTAAAATATTATATTTTTTTAATAAAAATTAATTAATTAAATTTAAATTATTAATTATAATTAATATAATATTTTTAATTTATATAATAAAAATATTAATTAATAATTAATTAATTAAAAATTATTCATATAATTATAAATATATTTATAAAAAAATTATTGACCCGCTAATTTACTTGTCCATCTTTGGTGAGACGGACTAATATCTATTCCTTTTATTATAACGGATAGGTCCATCTGTTTTATTTTTTTCACGCTAAAGAAAAGATAAACTAACCTATAATATAAACTTTTTTACTAAATTAATGTAAATTATATAAAAGTATAATATCATTTTTTATTATAAGTTATTTTGTTTTTTTTTTATATTTAGGAGAAGATTTCCGTTCACTATTAGATTCATAATATAAAAATCAATGATAAATTCTTTCTTTTTTCATTCTTTTATTTATTTTTCTTTTTTTCACCTTTTTTCATTTATTAGTTTTTCTTCTTCTCTCAAACTTGTTCTTCTAATTAAAATTATTATTAGATTTAATTTAAATTTAATAAAAATATTTTAAAAATTAATATTAAAATTAAAAGGGATATTAATTAACTATGATAACATTAAATAATTTATTTATGATAATAATAAATAAGTAATTTAAAATTATTTTATTATAATAAATTAATTACTCATTTAATTAAAAAATATTAAATAGTTAAGAGAAAGAAAAATAAGAAAATAAATAAAAAAGGAAATATCAAATATAATTAAATAAATACAAATTTTATTTAAATATTTTTTGAAAATATATTATTTATAACATTTCTTATTATAATATTTTTTATATGAAGCCAGTTTTTATCATTTACCACGTTTTTCCTGCATTGGAAACGTTGGTTATTTTAGACGTAAGCTTTTGTAATTTATATGATGCTATCGGAGAGAGTTACAGTGTGATTTATATTTTAAACGTTTTCCTTGAATAACTAATTATCTATAAATGATTTGCAGTGGAAACCCATAAGAAATATATTTCTTAAGAATTTTTATATAAAAAAAATACACAAAATATAACAAATTTTAGTAATGACAGTTTTTGTGACATCATTGACTAATATTATATTTTAATCTTAGACTAGTTCCATACGTTTTTTCTTTTAATTCCTATGTCATCGCTTGTGTGGAAAATTGTTTTCTTCTTCACGTGCATGCATCATCCTGTATTAAATTGACTATAATGTGTTTGTTTTAACGTTGGCGTAGACTTTTTTATTTTTATTTTTTCATGTCCTATTTGATGTACACTATTGTTGTATTGGGATGGGAGGTGTAATTATTATTAAAAGTCGTAAAAAAAATAAAATGGGCAACGTTAATTTGTAATGTGAGTAAAACGAACATGTGGAGAAAGAGAGAAAAGGTCTCAATATTATTCACCTTTGACTCGTGAAAAATAACAGAGGAGAAGCAATGAATATATAATAACAATATTCAGGCTTAAAAAAACTGAATGAAAACAGGTTGGAGAGAAAAGCGGTGCGGTTTATAACACTATCATGTCAAGCACATAGAATTTTGTTGGGTGTTCAACGCAGTTGAAGGTGGTGAGACAAGTGCTGTGGTTGTGTTGATGTTCACATGGAGAGAATGAATAGTGGGGGTTTTTCAATCAGAAGGCGTTCACTGAGCATTTCAAGTCATGTAAGCCATCATATAGATAATGATGGTGAGTGTGATAGTGTTTCAGAGGCTGGAGACATTGGAGATCGTGCTCTTCCAAGCAAGAGGTTCAGTGAGAGCAACAGCTTCCGTTTGTCCTTTGACAACAGGTCAGAAAATGATGTTGTTTCCATTCCAGAGGAACACAGGTTGCATCCCAATTCCTCTGTTATGCCCTTGCCTCCTGCCTTCACATCAGTTTCCCCTCTTTCCACTGATGACAGAGAGGCTTCTGAAGACACAAAACATGTGAGCTCAATACTTGATTTTCATGTAGTCAGAGATTTTTGGTTTCTGTGATTTGGTTTTTAATTAACCATATGATCTATTTTCAGGATCCTCCTAAAGGTTTGCCAGAGTTGTTGGACTATATTTCATGTATGGTTCATTTAGCGGTTTTTGGAATTCTTGGGGTAATATCTGCTAAACTTTTGCTTGAATTGTTAGATATAGCTACATTTTCATTGTTGGTGCAGCATTGAATAGTGATATCTGCTATTGTTTCAATTCATAAATCTTTTGCTGATTGAGAGGCTATGACAATTTTTTAGTTGTGATTAGCACACTGATACCCTTTCATTGAAATCTAATACAAGAATTGTAAAAACACTACGCAGGTCTTAACGAGATACTTACTGCAAAAGTTATTTGGCCCTGGGGTTGCCCATGTGACAAGCGACCAAACCATTCTTTATGTTGATCTTCCTTCTAACATGGTGTGTTCCCTTTCCCATCTTCATTATTTCTGTGTCATGGTTACCTACAAATTTTGATGGCTTCACAAAAACGAACACTCCAGAATTGTTTGGCAAGGAACATAACTTTCGGGCACAATTGCTTTTCAAACAATAGAGAAATTTTGTGCCGCCTTTAAAGACGGAGTTTGTGAAAATAGGAAAGTTTTGACTTTTGAGCTTGAAGTAGTTATTCGTTTTCTCATAACCCGAGATTAGCTGCTTTTGTATTTTGCACTTCTTAAATCCTTAATCTATTGTGTACAGAATTGAACATTTTTTTTCAAATCTTGCTATAATAGAATTAATCTGTCGGACTTTTTAAATTTGATGTGAAGTGACACTAGAGTCCTTTATGTATATAGAATATATTTGCAAATTATATTTTATTTTATTTAGTCATCTGATCGAAGCTTCAAAGTTCAAACCTCTCAGTACTGTTGGAAGAAATTTAAACTAATTATGGGATTTACTCGTAGGGAAGCTGGTTCAGATAACAATCTAAAGCAAATTTTTACATTCCTTTCCAGATTGGTTCATTTCTTATGGGTTGGTTTGGTGTGGTATTCAAAGGAGATATATCTCAAATGTCAGAGCATCTAGCCATAGCAATAACAACTGGTTACTTGGGAAGCCTTACAACATTCAGCGGTTGGAATCAAAAAATGCTTGAACTCAGTGTTTCCGGGCATTGGCTCTTCGCTTCACTTGGCTTTCTATTAGGTAAATGAGAGGATTGATGGTTTTATTTCCTCATAATGGATCAACTGGTTAGATGAATTTATTTTACATTACAAATTTTTCAGGTTTGTTTCTCGTTGCCTATTCCATCCAGTTTGGGATTGATACTGCCAAGGGATTTAGGTGGCTTCTCAACAGGCTGAGTATTAGTTCAAGAAAAGATGGTAATAAGATCAACTGCAAAGTAGACAGCTACCGTCGTCAGTTGATTGTTATGGTGATGTTCTTGGTAGTATTGGGCATATTGTGGGGTGTAAGTGGTGCATTAGTAAAGGCTGAGTTCAAGCACGGTGGTAATGGTGCTCAGTTATGGTTTGCTTGCATGGTTGGACCCATGGGTGTGTGGATTAGATGGTTCTTGGCAAGGCTCAATGGGCGTGGATTAGGAAAGGCAGGGTTGTTTAAATGGATTCCATTTGGGACATTAACTGCCAATGTATCCGCAGCTTGTATTATGGCTGCACTTGCCAATGTGAAAAATGCAGTAAGTTTCTTTGTCATCATTCATGTTCAAGTGTTCCCCTCATTTCTCTCATAGATTAATAAATCATAACCATCAGATACTTGTTTGATGCAGGTGAACACCAGAGATTGTGATACTGTTGTAGCAGGAATACAGTTTGGCCTGATGGGGTGTTTGAGCACTGTCTCTACTTTTGCTGCTGAGTTTAATGCAATGAGAGAAAGCAGTCATCCTTGGAGAGCCTATGTCTATGCTATCATCACAGTTTGTGTTTCATTCTCTTTGGGAATATTAATATACTGCATCCCTGTTTGGACAAAGGGGTTTGACATTAACACGTAGAAATTGAATAAGGCAATCTTGTTTTGGCACTTTGTGTGGTTGAAACACCGCAGTTTCACAACAACCCCCTCCTGATTTTAAAGACAACAGATTGTTTTTGCTGAGAATGAGTGGGCAGTTCAGAGAAACAGAGTAATGTATCTGTCAATATTACGATTGGATGTAAAGCAGGATTTTGAGCTCATACATGATAGATCACTTCTTACTATATATATTATAGACGATATTTCTTGATGTAGAAAAACGAACAGAGGAAGTGTGAGAACGTTTCAATCCTGAAAGAAATTCATCGTTAACTTAAAGTAAACAACAATTTCATTTTTCTGGTTTCTCGTGTGCATCGTGCATTAAGGGGTAGTAGGTAGGTTTTGCGTTAATTTTATGACAACCCTCAAAAATGTTTAACAAATAAAGAAATTAGATTTAAGATAAATATTGACATTATTGTATTAATAATCAGCTGACTCTGTCAACAACCTTAACATTTTGGATCTTAACCATTCAAGGACCTCAATGATCATCACATTCTTGAAATCTACTTGACTATCTTTCAAAACAAATAAAAATTATTTATGAAAATAATTGTTAATAATCGATTGTTTTCTATATAAATGATTGACAATCCATTATATTATATAATAATAATAATAATAGTTATAATTATTTTAAATATAATAATAACTATTAATTAATTGTGTACCGATGGATTGACAACCTATCACTGTCTTTTATTTATATTGTTGAAAATTTGATCGTACAATTATGATTAAAAAGTGGTGAAGTCTTTTAAAAAGGAATGGAGGAGTGAGATGAAGAATTTCAAAGCTGGGTCCTATAATTATTGACCACAGAATAGTTAATCCCAACTCATTTTCCATGTTACGTATGAATCTCTTCGGTGTGACACATCGTGCCCTTTTTCTTTCCCACAAAGCAAAAAATGACATAAAATTATAACCATTGAATTTGTATCCCTTTTTCTTAGGTTAGTTCTCGTACCTTTTTCTCTCGTAATTCGCAAGTCATAACTTGGTGGAGAAAACTGTTTTGTTCTTCACGTACATCATTCTTTGTTAATTTCACTATTATGTGTTTATGTAGGTTGGGGTTATTTTAGAAAAGTTATATTTCAAAATTTAAATTTTAAAATTTAGTATTATTATAATATTATTAAATAGAATTATAAAATAGTTATATGAAAGAAATATGTTGTTATTGCCAGAAATCGACAAGAGAACGTGGAAAAATAGGTGAATTTGATTTTGAGTTGTAATATTGAAAAGGTTAAAAATAATTTTCTTTTTAAAAAGAGCAAATACTTACTTGTAAAAAAAGATTAGGATGTTCAAATTAATTTTTAGATAAAAAAATAATATATTTAATAATGAGTAATAAGATAAGATTTACTTCTTCATCCTTTTATATGATCTAGAAAATAATAATAATCCAAAAATTAATAATCTATATAAGATAGTATATAATAAGATAATAAATTAAAGATAATTAATAAGTTAATGTATAACAATAAAAAATAATAATATATATAAGATATTATATAACATAATAACAAATTAACCTATATAATGGTTTTAATGGACTTGGACACTTTAATTATACAAGCCTCCCAAACTCAAAGGTCAATAAATTTAAAGTTGAGTTGATTATTTCATCATAGGTAAGTGATTAGTGTTTAGTTTGAACGTGTTTATCTTAGAAATTATTATTCAATTAGACTGAGATATATTTGTGATATTTACTCAATAGAGCATATTTATTTGTCATGTAAAGATAATGAATCTAAAACTTTACGAAAAGGAGAGAGGAGTTCGATATGTTGACAAAATTTGGGTCATGTATATATATGATACATAATTTAAATGTGTTATGGTCATTATTTATTAAGCCAAATAATAAAGTGATCTGACTAAATTAAAAAGTTTAGCTAAAAGCATATATCATGAAAATAAAATTGTATAGAGACCATTGAGCAATTTCTAATTTGATGAGGGGCCAAATTGGAAATACTAAAACTTAAGTAATTAACCTAATTCTGATTATTTAAAGGGTCATGGTCCCCTTCTAGGAGCACACACAGAACGTAAGTCTCAGTTCTCGTTCCTTTCTTTCTATCCTCATCAAGAGAGAAAATCAAGAGGGAAATACAGGTTCTCTTCAGGTGAAAGACCATAAGATCAATATAGTGTTCTACAAAGACATCATCATTATGGCTAATTCAGGTATGCTTTCGCATTCAGTTTATAGCATGTTTATCAGTATGGGATTACGTTTATGTTTGATCGTTAGAATCAAAATCAGGATTATAATTATTATTAGTTTTCCAACAATTGGTATCAGAGCCACTCATACTTTATTCATGTCTGTTTTAGGAAATTTTTAAAAATTCAGTTTCTATTTAATTTATAAAATCTCAATTTTCGTGAACCCTAAAATTTTAAATTTGGGGGTAACATCCCTAATCTACTTCTACTCGCTGATGGAACCGTGGAGGAAGCTATGAATTCTTCTTCTTCTTCGTTTTTCCCTTTTGTTTCAGTTTAAGTTTCAAGTTTTACTAAGAAAAAAATAGTATTTCAAGTTTCAATCTTTCTTGTATTGGGTTCTATGTTCTCTTTGAATCTTTTGTTTTGTTTTTATTTATTTATTTTTTCTGGGTTTTGTTTTCGCTTTTTTTCATAGTGGATATGGATGAGTTTGGAATTGGAGGTGATGTTTGGGGAGTTCCCAACACAGGATCTTAGGTAACTGGTGAATGTTTCCTCAGGTGTGATTGTTATTATTTTATTTTCTTTATCCTCTAGGGATTTAAGGGAAGTTGATGTTAAATTTTCTGTTTAGGGTTTGAGAGATTACTGTTTAATCCCCTTTAGGGTTTAGAGCAGTGTGTTAAATAGGGTCATAACTATCTCTATTTCATTCCTAGTGTGATTTTAGGGAGATGTTCATCCTTTATGTGTTGGTGGAAAATGAGGTGTTTTTCATCTTTTGATTTGTTCAAAGGAGGTGTTCATCCCTAATGAGATTCTAGGGAGATGTTCATCCTTAGTGGAATTCTAATGAGGTGATTATCTTTTGAATTAGTTTGTAAATATTAAATATTTGGTTTTGTTATATAAATAAAATATTCAATTTTTTGGTAGTTTAATATTTTTTGTGAGCAAATTGAGTCAAGAAGTCACCAAAGTAACCTCTCTTGAATTGGGCAGTTCATGAAAAATATTGAATGTTAGTATTTGTGTATATTCATGCGAGTATTAGTCGGCCTAAAGGAAGATTAATATTTGGCCGAATTACATACACACTTGTAATGATAAACATGTGATAATTATAAGGATTTACTTTGTCGATGATAAATCAATCCAAAGATTGGTTTGTTGTTGGATGTGTTTTATTGTCAATGTTTGATTATTACAACAAGATACCTCTAGCGAGTTAATATTATTGTCCAAAGACTTGATATTGATAGTGCATTGGGTGTCTTAAGATGAGTTAAACCATTATTTGAATATATATTTATAATTATTTATTTTTTATATAATGTGAGCATAATTAATTTATTTCTCGTGTTCTAAATTCAGCTATAATTGCTTCTGTATCTACTAATTTAAATTTTGTTCCAATCCTCAAAAGTATGTTTCCTACTTTGGTCTGTTCTGAAGTCAATTTAGCGTCAGTACCTAGTAACACTTGGTGGTTAGACTCAGGTTCAACTACTAACATCAGTATTTCTATGAAGGGTTGCCTAAGCTACCGGAAGCCAATTGATTCTTAAAAAAAATGGATATATGTTCGAAATGTGGAAAATCGGTAGAGGTGGAAGCTATAGGGCATTTTAAATTGTTATTGAGTACTGGTTTTTATTTAGATTTGAAAGACACTTTTGTTGTGTCATCATTTAGACGGAATTTAGTTTCAGTTTCTTATTTGGACAAATTAGGTTATTTGTGTTCATTTGGAAACAATAAGTTCAGCTTGTCTTTTAATTCATATATTGTTGGAACTAGTTCACTTTTGGCTTATGATAATCAGTATTTACTTGATATTGTGGTCACCTATAATGAAATCCTTAATACAGAATCACGTAGTACTAAACGTAAAATTGAAAATACTCACTCAGGTGCATTATGGCACAAGTGCTCAGGTCACAATCGAATCGTGGCACTTGAGCTTGTGTTACACTCTTAAATATATGATAAGGAGTATGATTTGACATTCCACCTTACCGGAATCACTATGGGGAGAGACACTAAAAACGACAACTTATATTTTAAATAGAGTACCAATTAAAGCAGCCACCAAAATACCTTATAAGCTTTGGACTGGGCAACAGCCTAGTCTGAAGCATTTTCATGTGTGGGGTTGTCCAACTGAGGCAAGGCCTTATAAGCCAAATGAAAAGAAATTGGGCTCCCGAACAGTATGTAATTATTTTATTGGTTTTGCTGAAAGATCCAAGGGATATAAACTTTATGATCCCACATTAAAGACAATTTTTGATATGGGAACTGCTACGTTCTTTGAGGATATTGAGTTTGGGGGGAAGAATAAGTTTAAGAACTTTATCTTGGAGGAAGAATCGGTAACAATTTCAGAACTGATTCAAATAGTTATTTTTGATAAAGTAAGTTCGAAACCTCCACAAGGCATTGTTGATGAACCCCTTACTAAAGATTATTTGGTTGTTCATGAAGAACAAACTCAAGATCCTCAAGAACATTTGCATCATGAGCCAATAACTTTGCGGAGATCCACTAGAGAAAGAAGAAGTGCTATTTCAGATGATTACATGGTATTTCTTCAGGAACATGAGGAAAACAATGATATAATGGAAGATGACCCAGTTAACTTCGGACAAGTTATGCAAGGTTCTAACTCTCAAAAGTGGATTGAAGCAATGAAGGAGGAGTATAATTCCATGCAAAACAATAAGGTTTGGGAACTTGTCTCATTACTAGAAGGTATGAAACTCATTGGTTGCAAGT